ACATGGAGCCCATTGATTTCAGCTGCCTGGAAAAAGTAAATGGGGTTCATGTTTTTTTAAATAAATGCAAAAAATCCCGCACAAAATGATCTGGTTATAGTCCCAGTTGAGGTATAGATTTCTGATCGCAGTGCACCTGCTTGGTGAGGCTTCTCCTTCTATATTACATCAACAATAAAGCAATGAAAATGCTTTCAAAAAAATTTCTGTAAGACCTCACAACGTCATTCACTCAAGTAAATCATAAAAACATGTATAGGACATTTAAACAAATTTAAAGTAGGTGTATTTATCACAATCCAATCTCAAGTTGTAAGGATATCATTCATCCATTATAAACAAAACAAAACAAAGCAAAACATGACAAAACAAACATATCATTTTGCAAAAGAACTGATTTTTTTTTTTTAATTCTGTAGCTTAAAATAATAGCTCCTTCACTGTCTTTTGTACACCCTGTTTTCATCTAAACTATTGCTGTGAGTTGCCCTTTTTACCGTGTTATTGCATTGATGATATCAGCCTTTGCAGGCAATGACATCAGTCTTAGGAGGGAAAGGCAGAATTTTGAAAACAGATTGGACAGTTAAATGGAACAAGGATGAAATTCAAACTCTTATGCTTTTAAATACCTTTGCTTTAAAGCCTTTTTTTGTAGAGCCTCCTGGAAACTAACAGAATATGTGAGCAATCCTATTTTGGCTGAGTCATCCCCATAACATTAGTTGTAGCTCAGAGTCCTTCTCAGCTTGCAGAAGCAGGGAGGAAGATAAGGATTATTTTATGTAACTTGCGTATAAATTTGGTTAGCTTTTAGATGAACAGATTTATGAAAATATTACATAGCAGCACACTCTGAGTTGCCATTTTCGGATATACAATTGTAAAATAATAACAATGGCTTTTGCTAACACATTGGGAAACTTGAACCACATAAGCTAAATTTTTCATAATGTGAGCTATATACTAAAAGCCACCAAACTGGACTTAATTACAAAGAATGGCAAAATATTCAATTGCAGAGAAAGAAGTAACAGCATCACTTACCTCAAAACTTACAGATCCATTGTGATCAGTGTCAAATGCATTAAACAGAAAATGTGCATAAGTTGTAGAATCTACAATTTAAAACAGTAAAAATAATTCATAGTAAGCACACCTTCTTTCATTTAATTTCATCCCATGAAAAGATTTGGTACCAAGATATATTTTGATACCAAAATTTGATAGCAAGACTAAATTTTCAATTCAGTTTAAACTTCTTTTTTGGCAGGGGAGAAGGGATAAATTATAAGTGCAAGTATGTGGGTAGCTGCTCAGTTGGGAACGGAAAATCTAAAATTCTAGTCTAGAATATCTTTATTCATTTTCATTTCCCTTTCGACTAATCACTGATATCTGAATGAATAGCAAAGAAGTCATGTTATTGTACTCTGAAACAACCTGTGTTAATGGGAACACTACTTTATCAGTTAAATGACCGTGACAGGGGATCTATCTCGCATGTTAAAGAAGAAAAATGTGTTCATTTGTTCACTTTAAATGAGGGAAGCAGACACTACCATCTGTGCATCTGGCGTATCATTTTTACTCTGAAGACAGGCCTGTTACCCAGGTTGAAGATGATCTTGTCCGAAAGCTGCTGCTGCTGTGCTCGGGTCCTGTGCTCACACACAGGTGAGAGAAAATCCTCTCCAGAGAAGCCGATTCTTAAAGCTGGTTTCCTGCTTAGTTCCCATGAACATCATACGAGAGCTAGGTGCTTAAAATCCTTGGAAAAACAGGCTGTGACTAACTGAAGTGGTCAATAAGACTCTGAAAGGTGACCTTAAACAAGCGATCCCTTCACTAATTAGTTGTATACTTTTCAAACTTACTGACTAGTGCATATCAACTCATTTTAGAAACACAAGACAGCATGAATATAAATATGCCAAGCCTCTAAGTTTTTTGTAAAGATCCATCTTTCCATTTCCACTGAATGCCTTCTGAAGGGCACAACCTGCTCCAGGAGTAATACACTGCAAAGGGAAAATTTCTCTGGGGACTGTTCTGCTGATGGGAGGTACAAGTTGCTGGGGTTATAGGCAGTCAGCTTTCCTCAGCGTCTTTTTCCCTCCCTCAAAACCATGCCAATTAATGTAGGCTGAGGTATTGTTTACTGTTAATACTCGTTGCTTTGCTCTTTCTACTTCCTGTGTTTACATTAATTTCAAGTTAGTTAACATTAACGCCACAAACTTTTAGTAAAGTGAGAAATGATATGAAATCTATGTTCCCCTTGCAGGGCAACCCTCCCCCCATCGTGGAAAAACGTCGTCAGCGCTGAGATGCCTTATTTTGATTTCTTGGCACTGAATCATTTTACCTTTCATATTAATCCTGAAAACCTTTATTTGTCACAGCCCAAAATACTGTTTTGAATTAAACTGAGTGATAGTCTTGGGTCAGTCACCTGAAATGCCACCTTGACCCCAAGAAACAAAATACACCAAAACTCCAAACTTAGTATTTCACAGATGCAGACCTCATATTAGCAAGCAAAGTCTCTGTTCTTACTTCAATATGTTAATTTCATATGATGTGAAATAAATGTAACACAAAAAACCTCTGCAACCTTTAAACCTTATGTCTGTTAATGCATTTTCAGACAATTAAAAAAACCCCAGACACTATTGAGACATTCATTCATTCATCCATGTATCCAGTCATCAGTGTAATTGCTTAAGGATGGCCTAGCAGAAAAATTCCCACTTTATCTGAAAAATGTAAATTTGTTGACTTCAGTTTATATTTAGGATTTTAATAGTCATATTTTCTATAATCTACTGAGACTTTTGTTATACAACAGACCATACTATAAAAACCATCTTCAGGGAAAAAACATATTATAGAGGTATAATTACTGTAAACTGAATTTTAAATAGCTTCCCATTCTCTTGGTATTCCTTTCTTAAAATATGAAATATTCCTCATTATTTTCTGTAGATTTACAGAAAACACAAAGGCTAATACAAAGGTTTTTTTCATCGTTTGTTGCCCATACATGATACAATATACTACTCTTTCTGTATGGTGGTATATGAAAAAAAATCTCTAGTTGAAGAATCTTTTCTTCCTAGTAACCCCTTCTGAAAAAAAAAAACTTCAGAGGTCTTTTTCAGGGTTGTTTGTTCAGGCAATTCTGGTCTGAAATTTTGCCTTCAAAAACACTGCAGGATGAGGTACACTAGTCTTTTAGTTAGAGCTACTTAATGTGATTCTCCTCTGCCACCCCGCTCCCCCCTAAATCTTGAACATTAATCATGTTAGACAAAAGCTTAACTTTTTAAATAAAATATGTTTTCTTTTCAGGGATCTGATATCCTAACTAGTAGGCTAAATTGATATTTTGACAGGTTGAGACAGGAACAGATATTAAATCAGAATTCCTTTGAAATACACCATTAAAGCATTTTAAACATCAGAGACAAAAAATGGTAGTTGTTATACATCTGAGAATATGCCATATCAAACCATGAACATAATCTGTTCTGTTCATAACAGAGGAGAAGTGTAATAATTATTCAGTGTCCAGGTTCTTACCTATGACCTGCCCGGCTGAAGAACAAATCCTGTTATGTTTCAGGTGATCCATTGCGTGAACACAGGGGGCCTATTCATTCACATGTATTTCTAAAAAGAAGTTACTGGAGTGCCTTTCTCGCATGGGAAACTTTTTACAAAGCTACTTTTGCCTTTTAAAAATATTGATTTTACTGCAGTTCAGTGTCATCGCCTTTGTTACTCTTACTGTGGCTCCCTTATCCTCTTTCTGCTCCTCATGTCCCTTACCCTGGATAGTCTTGAAAGTCGCTTGGTGAAGTGACTTGCTGGATGACATTGGAAAAATCACTTTTTGGTGATTGCTTGGTCACCCTGAAGCTTAAAATCTTACACAACATCATTTGTTTGCTCAGATGTAAATTATTACAATGATACATCATGCTGTATCTGGCTTTGCATTACATAGACAATTTGGGCACAGATCTACATATATGACACGTTTTAATTTGGACACAGCTTTCAAACTTTTTTTTTCCTCTCTAATATTCAGACATACATAAACCCAATATTTTAAGTACAATTGAAATTTAAAGGCCTCAGCTGCACACAATATTTTGGCAATACATTCAAAGATTTAAGTATCCAGTCTAGCTGCTTAACTAGACACTTAAATATGATGATCTTACGCTGCTGTTAGCATGCAGGTATATGCAAATCAGGACAATTAATTGGGCTTTGAAGATACCTTGGCTAACGTGAGGAAGAAAGAATAGACTTTGGCTCCCATACCTCTCAGAAAATGTCAAAAGTCAACACAGGCACCTAGAAAACAGCACAAAACCTACACAAAACAGTTCAAGTCACAGCGGGCCCACAAAAATTAAAGAATACTGATGTGAGCTGTTACTCTTCCAAGGAGATTCAGCTCTTCTGCTGTTTCCACTGAATATTTTTCCTGAAATTTTGAGGAAAACTACCTAAGGCTTTCATATTTGTTTGTGCTTGTGTTGTCTTTATGTACTGCTAAGGCTGTGTGCCGTTGCGTGGAGGCCATGGAAGGTGGGGAGAGGGAGCGGATAGCTTCTGATGGTCACTTCTCTGTGCTCTTTGCTGAGATCTCTGAAATGGCTTTATTGAGAAAGCTAAAAATGCTGTTACTGGTACACCACAACATCTGTTAGTGATAAGTGAGTTATCTGGATTTGATACTTTCCTACCCTGCTAAAAATCTAACTTTTTCTGTATTTCACTGAAGTTAAAGGAAGCAAGGAAAAATGCATGTTTTTTTTTCAGAAAAGTGTAGCTCCGGTGTTGCAGATAGAGTAACGGCATTGTTGAAATTGCAGCAAATAGCGTAATGACGTGCCCCTGTAATGCAGCATTGCCATTGCTACTAAGAAGCCACAAGATTTATAGGGAGATTGCCCGAGGATGGAGGCTCGTCAGCTTACAGCTTTGTTTCCCATGGTTTAGCTGTGACAGCAGTCTCTTGAATTGATCAGGTTTCTGAGGCTGATTGGTTTAACTTTTGTGACAGCAGTCTCTTGAATTGATCAGGTTTCTGAGGCTGATTGGTTTAACTTTTGTGGTGCAGCTATAGCTTTATACAGAAGCAGAAACAAGCAGTTATTCTATGTAGAAACAGATATTTATGAGACTAACATAATGATGCAGTGAGGAGGAGAACTTCTCGCCTTGTACACTAGCAGAGGCCTTGAGCAGCAGAGAGACGGGATGCAGCGCAGAGGAGAGCAGGTGTGGGATGAGAGGATTTGGGGCACAGGCTGGCACTGGAGACCTCACAGCTATAAACAGCTCACCTGTGGTCAGTTAAAGAAATGCAGGTGTGGAGCTGGACAAAAATGGTTTTAAGGGGTAGCAAAGAGGATAAAGAAATAGTATCTAACACATCAAAAACATACCACCTACAATAAATTTGGTTGTCGTGTGGAACTGCAAGTGGAGAAAAAGAAAGGTGTAAAAATATGTTAGCAAACACATAGAAGTGACCCCAGCTGAATCCTAGAGTGTGGAAGAAGAAAGCACCAACATGAACATCCTATTCTTCCTGGGGAAGGACTCCAGATGCCAACAGTCCACTGCAGTCTCCACCTCCTCCCCTGAACCACTGCCCTAAAGGCCCAGAGGAGCAGCAGAAGGGTGAGGATTACGCCAGGAAGAGGGGTTGAAAGTAAGACTTGAGTATATATCAATTTTTACTACATTAACATTCTTTCCTTTCTGTAACAATTAGGTCTAATCAGGACTAATAAACGTTAGTCTTTAAGATTATATTTATTCTAACAATACATTTGAGCTTTACTTGTATAAAAGCTGTGCTTTCTCTTTGCCCATAAACAATTTTGAGTGTAACAATAGGAAATACATAATTTTTTTACTATTATTTTAAGTGTAGTAAAGGTGTAGTAAATCACATGCAGAGAATTATTTTCACTAGCCAGGGTAACTAAAAAATATAATATCTGAAACTGTAATTGTTAGCCTGGTTTAAAAGCTTAGATACAGAAATAATCAGTAGGCAGGTCAACTCTTTTAGCCTTTTGTTCTTCCCTATTGAGTGTGCCTACTTGTTAAGGATTTCAGTGATGGTAATCCACGCTGAATGCTGCTCTTCACCTTCTAGGTCTTTATTCAAAATAAAACTAATTGGGAGACGTTTTTGTTCCTACCAATTAAGTGTGCTTTTTTTTAAATACAAGTGGAAAGAAAGAACTATGAACAGTCCCAGGGCAACATGCAAATCTCAAGAGCTGTGGGAGAAGATGAAGAGGCAGGATTGAAGAGCTGCAGGATAATATGAAGAGGAAGGACTGAATGGTAAAAGCAAGAGGAAGAAAAGAGGAAAAAATTCAAATTAAAAGAAAATCTGAGGTTCAAGGCAAAAAACTGTTACACATTTTTGTGTTACCTTAATTGCACTAAAAGATAATGAAGATAAAGAAATTAATTAAACCCCTGGAAATTAATTAATTGAAATTAAGGTTAGCAAAAAAAGCCTTAAGTAGAGAAACCCCATAGAAGTCAAGGGGGTTCTGTCATCTATATTAGAGGGTACCTGTAGTGCCTCCTACAGTTTTCATTCCTACTGTGAAAGGTTTTGAGGAATAAAAGAGAATGGAGAAGACTGTGTAGAAAGTTTTAAAAGAAAGAACCAACTCAGGGAAGCCTGGTTTTCAAAGGTACCCAAACACAGGTAGTGACTTCATAATAGAAGACCGACTTCTTGTAGTGATCATTGCATTTCATTCAGAAATATATAATTGAAAATGTGGCCAGTCATCAAGGAAGTACCCCATTAGTTCAGACAGAGCTTGAGACAACAAACTTGATAATTTGAACAGAATCTTTTGTCAGACCTAGGAACTAACAAACATAACTCTCTGTACACTGTAGTACTAATTATATCTGCCAAGTACTCACCTCCCTGTGGAAAGAACTGAGAGTAAATCTCTTTGAAGGTTTCTTCATTGACAACACCACTGGGACATTCCTGAAAAAAAGTGAAAGACACGAAATGAATAGCATCCAAACTGGTTGAGTTAAATCACGCGTTCATGAGACTGTACAGAACATATATGTGACTCTGAGAGTTTAACATGCTGCAAGAGCCTAATTTTGCACTTTCAACCAAATATTAATACATTAAATGTGTGTCACTTCAAAGGGACTTCCGAAAGAGTTCCCATGGGACAAAAATTTCTTCTGTGCCATGTATATCATCTTCGGTCTTGAGACCCAAGTGGCAGATGTGAGCAGCAACCGCTTTGCTGCAGTGCATGGAGCTGTTGGTGTTGCTGTGGGCCATGGATGGTCACTCCCGCAGCCGCAAACAGTACTTGCACAGTATAGAAACCAAGCAACAATGTAAACTGCACTTGCAGTTAGGTATTACTGATACAACATGCAGTCATATTCTACCTGAAGAGTTCTAGTCAATGAATTCAAAAGACCCTGTCACAAAAGATCTTATTCAAACGTTGCATATCCTTCTGTCTCTTTACATCTTGTTCATAAACTGAAATATGTAAGAAAGAATAAGCAGAAAGTGTCAGAGCAGAGCGATTACAGAGGAAATGCAAGGAAATGAAGAAAAGAGGATTAGAGCGGTGACTTTACAAAAATGACATGCAAAGAGGAAGGAAAAGCAGAAGGAATACTGTATTGTTTACTAAGTCATGCTTAAAAATCAAAGACCAGACAGCTGACTTCTGGTCCTGAATTTGCCAGGCTGAGCAGATGACTTGGGACAACCCACTTAATTCCTTTTTGCCTTAATTCCTTCTTTAACACAGAAAGTGAAAAAAGCCTGGCAAGCTCTTTAAGAGGAAAGTATTTCTAGGAAAAAAGGTAAGTAAGAAAAGACAAATTAAATGTTAAGGTTCATATATTTATTTTTGTCCATTGCTATGCTATTTGGACTTATGGCTCAAACTTACGTGTGCCTAGTCCTAAAGTGAGGAAAGGAAATAGTTTTAAATGAAGATAAAGAGCAGCATAACATCTTTCACCACTGTAATAACAGCTTTTCTTATGAGAGCAAATGATATTTCTATTAGATCAAATAAGGAACACTGAGATTTTCATAGTTCTGACAGCTTCTGCTAAGAAACAAATAGTATAATCTTGGTAATTGAGAGATGAATGCATTGCCTGAAGAACACACGTCAATTCTGTAGCTCTAAGATTAGTTTGATTTATGTCACTTATCCTCAGCTAAAATCAACTCTTTACCATAAGAAAGCATGTGCAAACACATAGTAAGGAACAATTCTGTTTGATCAGAACAGGCAGACAACAAGTGGTCATGGAGACAGAAGTATGAAATTGTTTCTGGTCACAGAGGCTGTGACCGATGGAGGCAGAACTAGAGCACAGGTCTTGGTAAGAGCAGATATATACTGACTGCTGGGACACACCGCCTTTCAAACCCAAGCCTTTGGAGAATGGGGGGAACAGTGAAATGCATCTAGTGTCTCTACCCTTCATCCGGCAAGGAGTGATCTATTAATTGAGGCAGCATCTCCCTGCCTGTCGTGTATTTGGGTATGAGGGCATTCTAAAACATCTCTCTCTGCTTTACCAGCTTCCCCAAAAGACTGTAGTCAGATGGTCTAGCATCTCTGTGGTCCCCAACAGGTTTACTACACTGCTTGTCTTTTTATGTGAATGAAGCCTTTTGGAATTGTATAAATGCATGCATATTTTTACTTGTATTTGAAGTATATTAAAGAAAATGTCAGTGAAGTGTTCAGATACTCACTGATATGCCTATACAGTTATTCAATGTAGAAAATGTAACAAAGGTATTTCATAAGTTCCTCTTTCAAGCATACATTGCTGTACACTCTGCAGCATTCCCAGACCTGCTCAAGGAAGAATAATGCAACCTTCTTGAGATGGGTGAGAGTGTGAAAGGACAATGCAGTATTTTGGAATTTAGAAAAAGAAGCCATGGCATCTTTCTGTTCTGCATCTAATTCCTTTTCAGAAAAAAAGCTAGGCACATTTTGAGTGAACTAAAAAGAAAACCTATATATTGAATTTGTACAACTCAGATATTGCATTTTTTTTTAATTTTTCTGGGAAGCTTAATAAATAATGAACAACAAAATGTGCATTTAGGTTCATCTAACTCTATAGCTTATTAACATGTAAAGCTATTTTTCTACCTTTTCCTTGGATGAGGAAGACACTCAAAATATGTTCACTTTGCAAAGAGTGCTCTCCCCTTTTTTACAGGAAATGCCAGCAACTCCAACTGTGTCAGTCCTTAGTCTGAATCTGGGAAAAATAAGACTCCCATTTCCTGACCGCATTTAAATGCTAGAGGAGAATTAAAGGTACTCTGGAAAAAATGGTCTGATTTATTATTTGTTAGTTCAAAATAAGTTAGCAGCCTGTTTTTAGAGAAATACATCATCTACCTACCTCGTTTAAAGGTAGTACTTTTTTCTGTCACTTAATGAACTCCAGTTTCACCATACTGTTTAAAAGAAACTTTGTTTGAAAAGGCAACCTACTTTCCCAGAATTGCATAGTAGTAGAGCCAGGAATGACCTGTTGATTTCATCTAGGTTGAACCTATGTATTTTCCTCTGCTCTTCAGCATAGCATTGCCAGTAAACTTTTCCATCCTTGGAGCTCTGTAGAAGTGGCATCTTAAGGACATTCAAGAAAAATCTGTGATGCTGACCAATTACTCTTATCAGAAAAATGTAGTTGAAACTTTTCTTTCTCTAGCTTGGATCTTTCCTCGGAGACTATACAAGACTGTGAACACTTCTGTTCTTAAATAATTTTAATCTAAAATTTTAATCATATATAATGTAGCCAACATTATTTAGCTCCAAGACTGCTCTTTTCTTGACTCATAAATGTGGCTTTATTGTGTTTAATCAGGAGATTTCTCTAGTTCAGTGAAAGAGATTTAATATTGTAATTGTTAAGTATGCCCCATGGCTTTATGTCAAGTTATTGCTGACTTCTTCCATTGTACCAACTGTAATTAAAAAAAAAATCTTTCTAACCTGTCATTAAATTCTTATAAAAGAAAGGAAAATAATTAAACAGTTTGAAAGCAAAATGTGAGGCTTATTTAAACCTTTCCTATATTCTTTTTTCCTCCAGCTGTATATAATTTGTTTTGTTACAGAGAATTTCTGTTTGACAGTCTTTTAAAATTGCATTGATGATGTATTATATTTTCCTTCTGGAGAATAAAAAGGAGGAAATGTTCATCTTGAACTGTTTTTCCTGAGTCCAGTCCTCTCTCCTTTAAGGAGAAAATAAGATAACCAACAGAAAAAAGAGACAGAGAATAATAAATATCATTCTGCCTTTTGATGATCTCTCTTGCCTGCAATTTTATTGCTAGGAAATTACACCTCCAGCACATGGTCTTGTGAACCACTCCCAAACCTGTAAATTATTTACAAGCTTCATGCTGTCTAAGCTGTCTGTTTTCCAGTATTTCTAAGAATACTGCGATAGGTGGATTCTTCTTTACTACCTAATCAACACCCTTTTTAGACAAGAGGCAAACCCAAAAAGACACAATAAAGGAGAAACAGTGAAATGTAGGAAAAAGAATGAAGGAGAAACAAACTCAAAGCTCAGACTTTTGTCTTTATAATAAACAATTTTGTGTGATAGATTAAACTGTATTAGGACCTTTCGCAACTTTAAATATATTTTAATAGTGGGCTTTTGCATGACAGGTTCTCCATCCCATGCTTTATCTGCTGTCAGTGTTTGTTCTGCTTTATTTTAGATATATGTTCACGTCCATTGACTTAATTATCTCTGACTAACAATATTTTCTCTTTTTGCACGTACTTCTATTGTGACTGAAAATTTAAGTTTTCCATCAACACAAAACTTAATGGAAGAACATGTACGCAATTTTGAAATAGCATGCGTATACCTTAGAGCTAATTCTACCAACAATCCCACAACTTAAACCTACAGTGGCTTTTCATAGCCTAGTCCAGTTCCTAATTTTTCATTTGAGTGTAATAGGACTTTGATCAAAGCAGCATGAGAATTTAACAAATGGCCTTGATTTAATAACATAATCTAGACCAAATTAATAATGAAATCTGGACCAGTAGACACCTCATGAAGCTCAACAAGAATTGCAATGTTCTGCACCTGGAAAGAAATCATCCCTTGCTCCAGTACCAGCTGTGAAGTGACTGGCTGAATTGCAGTGCTGCAGAAAAGGACGTGGGGTTACGGTGGATGTCAAGTTGAGTATAAGCCAACAAAGAAGTCTTACTGCAAATAAGATAAACCACCTACTGAGCCAAGGCCAGCAGTCTGAGGGAGTTATTCTATCTCTCTACTCGGGACGATAAGGAGCAGAGTCTTGGGGCCCTCCTGGGGAACTAGAGCAACAGAAGAGGCTTCAGTAGAAGGCCACGGAGACTGGTAGGGATGAGAGGACATAGCCAACGAGGAGAGACCGAGAGAGCTGGGCTTGCTTAGTCTAGGCCAAGGTTAAGGGATGGGCTAACAGCAGCCCACCTGAAGGGCAATAACAGAGAAAAGGAACCAAACTCTTAGCAGAGGCAGACAATTTAACAAAGTTCAGTGGACACAGTCTGAGGTTTGTGAACTCACATTAGACACTAGGAAAAGCTTTTTCACTCTTCTTAGTACCCTGAAGTGTGGTGATGGTTGAGAGAGCCCTTAATTTCTGTGAAAATTTGTGCTGTTGAACAGCCTTAGAAAGATGTGTCTGTGTGTGGCAGAGCTTTTCTAAGGGATGAGGTGAGAGGCTTTGTTTGATAAGTGGACCTTGATAATTTGCTATTATGAACAGGAACATATGGATCAGGACAGAAGGCTGTGGGTTAGAAACTTGAGACAATAGCTGAAGCTTGCATTTTTTCAGTCTTTAATGCTTTTAAGGTTTATGAAAATTAACTTTTAATTTTATGCACTCCCTACTTCCAAAGCTGCATACGTAAGGTTGGTTTAAATTTGCTA